ATATTATCGTATGGGTATACACAACGTCTGTTTCCATCGTCGTCGTATATGTAGAGCTCAAATCCAGTCCAACCTTCTTTTGTACAATATGTAGCTTTATTTAAGTATGCATTTATGTAGATAAGGCAATTTTCTTCATCGCTCCAGAAATAATTTTTCGTCTTTGTTGAAATAGTTTTCGTTCCTCTACGTCCATAAGGAATGTATGCAATAAATTTAGCATCATAAGGTATTATAATATATTCAGGGTTTCTTTCATCGTCAATGGGTCTGTCTTTGTTAAAATGCATGTTTCTCAGTTTTACTTGAGTTTTGAATAGTTCACGGAAACGTTCTGGGAAAGAGTCATAGTAAATGTAGTCGGACATGTCTTTGTAATGAAATAAAAAATTTTAAAAAAATAAAAATAAGTTTATTTTTTATTTAGTGAGGACGGTAGTGAATTCGTTAGTGAAGTCGTTTATGTGTCAGACGGTTTTGTAAATATTTAAGGTTAAGTTGGTGTTATGGTTGTGTTGTAAAATATACGTTACTGGTTTCGTAAAGTGTCAAAACCACTAAGTCGTGTACGGAGGCGCGCAGTGCCACAGTACATCACTTAGGGATACTAACTATTATATGCAATGACTTCGACAACTATATGGACCGTCTCAAACATATTCCAGACACAAACAATATATTGAAAGAGTTAAAAGAAAAGATACCTATAGGTAAGATGGAACGTATACCATTAGATAAGAAAAATATTGTGAGAGAGGTTTTGAAAAAAGCAGAATATATAGACTGGGATAGTATATCTGCTAGACTATTATATAGTGGTGCTATAAGAGTTCATGACATTGAAACACTTATGTCAAAAGTTTTATATCTTAACTATACAAATGTTTTCAAAGAGGACATAGAAAAATATATTGAGGGTATAGAGTTTGTGAGTGTCATTGGACAGAGTTGTATGAAAAATATAAAGACAAGAAAATGTTTTCTTTATAGTGGACCCGCCGTTCTATAACACATGGGATTTTCAATACCAAGTAGACTGGACTTTGAGAGACTCTTTAGAAACTTTTAGACGCTATACATAACCATCCATGCTTTTACTTTACATCCGATAAAAGTGGTTTGGAAAACGTTATGAGATGGTTAGAGGACATACATGACTATGAGTTTATATATGACAAGATAGAATATGAGAGAGGTCCTATAAACTGGAGAAAGTGTCACAATAAAGAAATTTTATTAGTAAGTAAATTGGTTTGAAATAGGACTACTTGTTTTAGGTTTTTTCCATTGTGTCATTTATTTATTTGACGTGGCAGAAAAGTACAGAGAATATGAAGATGAACCAATGCCTGCAAATTTCAGCATATGTACTCGTAAGAGATATTTTTATCTAATATTAAATGGACGCACAGAACTTAGCGAATGCACAGCAACCGGACAACCAAACCCAGAGAATATTCCAAATGAAGTTAGAATACAAACTGCAATGGCAAACTATGGTCAAGTGCCAACAGATGTACAAATGCAAACTGCCATGTCAAATGACGCTGCGTTAGGTTTGCCACCATGGTATGCAAATATGAGATGGAAAGAGTTTTATACAAACCCTGAAGTGGATATAAACAACTTTATGCAGATGACGCGAACACAGGAGTTGACCCAGAATATGTTTTCTACCAGAGGAGAAACAGAATGTATGAGCTCCAGTTAAAGAATGCTATGGAACTCAACAGGAAACGTAAGAGACTAGGCGGACATTAGATTTTTACATATAGTAAAATGGGTTTCTTCAGTAAGATAGGAAACTTCTTTCGAAATGTTGGAAGAGGTATATGGAATGGAATAAAATCTGTCGGAAGAGGAGTATGGAACGGTGTCAAAAATATTGGTAAAAGAGTAGGTCAGTTTGTTGGTATTATACCTAAAGACCCTGAACCAGAAGAACAAGCTCCTGTAATACAACAGCCTGAACCTGCACCACAGTCAAGTTGGCAACCACAACCAACACCTCAACCGTATTAAAAAGTTATATTTTTACCGTTCGATAGTAGTTGTATATGAAACTAAGTTCTAAGTAAAACGCATGGTATAATGGAATTATTCTTTTTCTTCCATCTGTAGTAAACCATACTTGAAAGTCTGAAATACTTCCACTCGGCGGTTCATATAACTTTGTAGGTTTTTCGTAAAAATCATTCATCAGACATAAGAAAGAGTTTTGCGCACCAGAAAATGAAGCATGAACAATAATAGCATCTGGGTCGAAAACATTTTCATATGTTCCATTAGGGTTTTCGACTTCATAATAGTCCGGGTGTACTGGATATGCTGCAGGCTGATTTAACATCCTCATAAATCTATACCATGCCAAGTTGTTATATTTTGTAGAAATATAAACGTTTTCTCCAAGGTCTTCTATTTTATTGATTTTAACAGTTGCATTTTTCCTGTCATAAATAATATCGAGATGGTATTCTCCTTCGTCAATGTTATACTGGTTTGCATATTCAATATAGATATCGTTTATTTTTTCTTGAAAAGCTTGAAGAGTTGTTTCTAAGTTTATAAGCAAATTAACTTGTAAAAGTTTTCCTTGTTCAAATTTCTCATACATACGTTTTTCTTTGTTATAGTATCGAACTTCAAAACCGACCGTAAATGGGAAACCATGTATGGCTTCTGAAATGAACTTTATTCTTCGAAAGCCAATAGCTTTTGTGACAGATGGGTCTCTTAACCATCTTAATGGGTAGTCAAAACGATAGCCTTCATGCTTTACGGTATCTGTCTCAAACTTTTGACCGACATTAGTAAAAAGTTCATCTAATGGTTTAGTTGTAGCAACTCTAGAATTTTCTTTTTCTATTGGAAGCATATTTTATCTATAATAAAAATGTCAAATGAAACAGCGTCTATGAGAGAAATACAACACAACCGACAACTCATTATGCAAGCTCTAAATAAGAACACAACAAACTTTTCAAACTATTCTAAGATATCTGAGTCATTGAAAGGGGGTGACTTAAAACTGACATTAAACCCTATAACAGATGAGTTTCTATTTCAAGACAATAAGAACAATACTGTCTGTATAAATCCAACAAAAGGAACTTTAAACGAGAAACCTATAAATGAACTTCTTTTGAAAGCAGATGTTGACAACAAAGCTGACAAAGAATATGTAGACGATGCAATAGCAAAAGAAGAAGAAAGAGCTAACAATGCTTATGCAACAAAAGAACATACTCATCCTGAACTAGCAGACAAAACATATGTTGACAATAAAATGTCAAGTGAAGTGACAAGAGCTGAAAACGAATATTCTAAAAAGACTCATATACATTATATAGGGTGTCCAAAGGTGCGTTTAGCACAGCGCTCTATATGAGACTATTAAAGGAGATATATGCTGATTATAAATATATAATAAAAAACATGAATATATGTATATGATGAGTAAGTTGTATTTTGGCGCCATGCCGGGATATAAAATGAATTTTGAGACAAGAGGCGGTTTCACGGGAAATTTTGGCGGGATTTTTTTCATTTTTTTAATGAATCATAAAGAAAACATCCTCGCTCTTGCAAAAAAATGCAAAGACTGTAAAAAATCTACGAGACATTGGTAAAATGCTTCGGTATGGATGCTCCTAGCTATTCCACTGTAACGTATCATGTTAGGATGTATCACTTCATGAACAAAAAGGCGCCCATCATAAAAATTGACAAAAAATCGCCGGATCAAAGAAAAATCAAAGCAATTCTTCAAGCGCTAGATGAAGACCCAAGAGCATCACTCAGAAAGATAGAGGAGATGACAAAGATACCACGTACAACAGTCAGTTATTATCTGCACAATTATTTGAACTACAAACTAGCGTATACACGTTGGGTTCCGCACAACCTTAATTCAGTTCAAAAAAAATCTAGAGTCCAATCTTCGAAAGAGCTCCTCTCTATATTGGGTGCGTATCAATCCAAGAAGTTTCGCTTTTTAGTAACAGGGGACGAGTCTTGGTTTCAATATGCAACAGAAGCCAAAATCATGTGGATCCCGAAGGATGAAAATCCGCAAACATTCCCGAAGAAAAAAATTGACACACCAATGATTATGTTGTCGGTTTTTTGGGGCGTGGAATGGCATCATCGCAATTGATATTCTTCAAAAACCTAATACGATGAATGCTCAGTATCTAATTGACAATGTTCTTACTCAAATTATCAATTCTGATGAGTTTGAGAAATCCAAACAACAAAAACAAAAGTTTGCAATTCATTTTGATAATTCAAGAGTTCACAAAAGTCATAAGGTAATGAATTACTTGGTGGAAAACAATGTCAAAGTTGTTCCAAACCCAATTTATTCACCTGATATTGCACCCTCTGACTTTTATTTATTCGGCACGCTAAAAAAGAGAGCTGAAGGACGCGAATTCGCGAGTCCAGATGATCTTGAAAATTTTGTAAGAGAGCAATTTGAGCAATTTTCTCATGATGATTTAAAGCGTGTCTTTGAAGCCTGGATCGATCGCTGCGAACGCGTGATTGAATCCAATGGTGATTATATTTAAATAAACTTTATATATATGTAACTTGTTTATTTCTATTCGCAGTATTCAGGTTTGTGCTAAACACACCTTTGGACACCCTATATTAACCAAATACCAAGTCTTAAGGAAACATTAGAGACAAAAGCAGATAAGACTCATACACATACCATTGCAAATATTACAAACTTACAAGAAACCTTAAACAGGAAAAGTGCCGTTGGACATACACATACATCTTCTGAAATAACAGACTTAAACGTTAGCCTTGAAAATAAAGCAGATAAAACATATGTTAATGAAATATACCAAAGTTTGATAGGAACAAAAAATATTGAAACTATTGTTGGTGACTTTTCTGTCAATGAAGAAAATAAATATTTTAGATGGCAGTTGGTACAGTCCTTAAAAAATGGTACACGGCATAAACTCATTCCGAAAAATAACAATGAAATGTATGTAAGCTATAAAAAGAATGATGGTACACAAGTTAAAGTTCCATTAGACAACAACTGCTACTTAAACTTATATGGAGACGAACAAAAGAAATATTTAAGAGTTTATGAAATGGCAGATATGACATTGCCTGACCCAGCTCCGGCACCACATTATTATGACTATGGAGATGACGACAGAACACCACATGTAGATGAACAAAAGCTAACATTATATTTAGATTATTATAGATATAAAAGATATAATGCAATAGAAAAAACGAGAATAGTATATTATTATACAGATGACAGAAATAAATATTATAGTCAAGATTTTACCTACCCTGAAAACATAAGATTATATTATAAAAAATATTCCGACACAAACCAGAAGAAACCTGAAATAGTTGCACTATATTTTAAGTTCAAAAGAGACAATCCTATAATATCTCATATGTTTGATTTAATGAACCCAGTAGGTTCTATTTATACATCTATGGATGCAAGAGGTCCTCAAGTAATGTTTGGTGTTGGTGCATGGGAACAAATAGTCGACAGGTTTTTGTATTGTGCAAACTCTTCAAAGGAAACAGGTGGAAGTAAAACGATTTCAGGTGAAAATTTACCTGCACACAGTCATTACATAGATTTAAGTACATCTCAAGCAGGTTGGCATAAGCATAGATATTGGGATTGGTCAGGAATGACAAAAGGTAAAGGATATGATGTTAAAGACGACGTTAAGTTTGCTATAAATTGTTACTGGATGACACTCAGGGAGAAGGAAACCATACACATTTCGTTTCAGGATATACGCAAACAACGGGACAAAGTAAAGAATACATGCCACCTTACATGACAGTTTACGCATGGTATAGAATTGCTTAGTCGTCATTTTCAACTTCTTTAGCATATTCGTCAGGAGTTGTCTTATATTTGTTAGGAACTGTCTTTGAAAGTATACCACCTTGAACTTTGACAAGTTTGAAACGAGGTCTGACAATAGTAGTTTTATCTTCTGCTTGCAGTGTGTACATTTTGCCATGTTTGCCTAAAACTTCATAATATTCTCTTGTATACTTTCTTCTATTTTTACGAACACGAATGTGAGTACCTGTCGGTTCCCATTGTTGTCATAGTCAATAGTATTTTCATATGGGTCGCGTTTAGGTATTTCTATTTTTACTTTGTCACCTTTCTGAAGTTTGAAGCCCGGCATTCTTTCTTGTTTGTCTCTTTTGACTAAATTATTAAATATATAGTCTTTCTCTAAGTCAGGGTTGTTTTTCATTTCTTCGGGGGAGTGGTTTCCCAAACCTTTTTGTTTACGGTTATTGTAAATATTTAAAACTTGTCTCATCTTTGCCATGGAGAAGTGTCTATACTTGTCGTCATATGACATTTCATTTGCTTCACCACCTTGTGGTTGGTTTAAGTCTCTTAACATTTTTATACAACCGTCAATGACACCAAGAGCAGAATGGTTTTGGTCGACAATGAAATATTGGTTTACATTTTTTGAACGCAGATAGTTTTTTACATCATCTGATTTGAAAGAACTTTCACAGTCAGATGTCAGTTTTGTTGGATGGTATTTGTCAACGAATATTGTCAAAGCAGTTTCACATCTAAAATATTTTTGGACCATAATGGTATGGCTTCACAGTATCTGTGTTTTGACCAACAAATATTAACCAGTATGGAGGTCCATCTGTTCTAACTCTCGGAATGTTTTCCAAGATATCCATAAACCAAGCATTTGGTGTTGAACTAAAGATTTTTATCATGAGTGCTTTCTTTGTCGCTTTAGAAACATAGGGGTCCTTGTTCGGATTCGTCATTTTTTACCCTATAAGAAATGGGTTTATTTGGCGCATTAGCAGGAGTTGCATCTAGATTTTTACCCGCAGTGGGAACAATAGCCAGAGGTGCATTTGGAATTGGAAGGAAGATTTTGAGTACATTAGGTATACTGAAAGAGAAAGCACAACCTATTATACAAACTGTACAGAAAGGTTGGGATGTAGCACGAGATGCAACAAATCTTATTCCAAATCCTGAAACAAGAGGAAAAGTTCAAGGATGGATGGACAATGTAGGAAGACAAGCAGGAAACTATTATAACAAAGCAAATGACTACTATAACCAAGCAGGACACTATATGGACCAAGGTGAAAGATTCTTTAACAGAGGATATAACCATGCACAACAGTGGGTAAACAATAACCAACCGCAACCACCTCAAACGTGGGGAATGTAAAGTTTTTTATTGAGATGAAATGAACAATGCAGCATTGAGACAAATGAGTTCAAGATGGATTTGTCGGCTTCCAGCATTTAAACCGATACCATATAGTCAGGCTCAGCATGTGAAACTGAATGATATTATTAAAGGAACCATCCCACCTCCACAACAACAACCAGTTGAAAACAAACCAAACTAAAATTTTTTACTGAGATGAAATGACCGAAGAAGTTGAAACGGTAGATTTGACACCACAAACAAAAAGTTCAGAACCATTGTCAAAACCTGTCAAAGAACTTACAGATGAAGAGAAAAATTCAATAATAGAAAGTGCCAGGTCTGGAAATACAAACCCTAACTATAAAGTCACTTTTCATAGAAATGGAACGGCTAGTATCTCAAAAAAGAAACAGACTCTCACAAATAAAATATTGAAGTCTGAAGGAGCTTTCGAGACAACAGATGGAAAAGTTTACTTCACTGACCAACAGTTCATTATAGAACATCTCATTGACTTAGAGTCGAAATATTCTAAACTTTACAACAAACACAAAAAGTTGAAAGGAAAACAAAAACAAATGGCATATGATATTTATGAAGATGTTGACGACACAACTGTTCCTGCAAGTGAAGTAAAGTCAGAGGAACCGAAAAGTGACGAAAAACCGATAGAAGAAGAAAAACCAAAAACTGAAGATAAACCAAAACCAAAGTTTAGTTTCCAAACTAAACCAAGTCAACCTTCATTAGCTGGTATGGGTTGGCGTCAAAGACTTATGGCAGCAGGCGGTTATGTAAAGTAAAGAAAAAAATATTTTTTTATTTTTATAAAAATGCCCCCATATAGAATGGATAGAAAGTCTGCTAGAATAAAAGCAGAGTTACAAAGATATGGTTGGAGAGTTTCGAAGAATTTTAAATATAGGAAGGGAAGACCCATAAAAGTCTATGACAAATTGTCTGGTCTTCGCTACGAAATGGATTTGGAAACAGCACGTGCCAATTATCCAAACAGACTAGAGAGGTTAGAAGAAGAACGTCTTATGGACATGCCTTTCGATGTTAGTGAACCTCAAGTTGAAGGACACGACGGCTTTGCCAGATTCTACTGGAAACATGACGAACAATTGCATCCTTTGAGAAGGAAAAAAGGAAAAGGTGAAGACGCACATGCTCCCATGGAAAGAACAAGATATGCATATGAAAAGTATCGTGAAGTTAGAAGTCAAATTACATCTGGTCGAACCTTTACAGTAAACTTTGACGAAGGAAAGAACAAAGAAGGCTTCATGGGAGTACTTGCTGCAATTCAAGACGGAAATAAGAAAGGACACAATCTCAGATTGACCATAACAGATTTGGATGGTCACATTTACTATGCACATGGCAATGAACAAACAGCCGCAAAACTTCTTGACGCTTTCAAGACTACAAAGAGAGAACAAATGGTTGACTCCGACTCAGACATTTTGAATGCAATTGAAGGAATTGCAAGTGTCAAGTTCGAATGGTACCAACCTAACCCTCAAGCAGTCAGACAACATGCTGGATACTTCCCGTTCATAAATAAGTCTGACATTGACTTGACAAGGTATGGAATTTACAATTCAATTGAAACAATTGTCAATGAACCTTGCATTCTTACATGTCTCAGGAACTCTGGTCTTGTTACAGATGAGAAGATGAAGTATCTTGAGTCATGTGTGAAGACAAGGTACATTCTCAGAGGTCAATTGGCAAAAATTGCACCGTTGGCAAATGTCAATATCCGAGTCAACATACCTACAGCTAAAGGTTCTTCACATGACGACTATGTTGTTGACAAAGACTTACCATGGTTGAAGATTGTAATTGTCCACAACCACTTCATGTTGAACGAAAGTCTTACAAACCCATTCTTTGGTAAAAGTAAGTGCAACATTGTCAGAGCTGTAAACATTCTTTTCGAGAAAGGTTTGTTGGAACCAATTCCAGATGACAAGCTGACAGAAACTTTTGTACCAAAAGACGAAACAAACTTTTCATTGTTAGCAAGACCAAAAGTTGTTCCAGACAAAGTTCTAGTACAAAAGAAGTACACAGTTCCACAAGGGGTTGGTATGTTCGGATACCAACCTGAACCAGAAGAACTTCCAATGAGGTTGCAAGAACTTCAAGATGCTATAAACAAACTTCCATTGAGACATCCAATTGACGTCAAATTGTATTGGAGAGCATCTGAGTTAGGTCAGAAGGTTTTATATGAAACAGGTTGCTTCGACGATGTTTATGAGATAACAGGAGAAGTTTCTCAGAAGATAAGAGACTCACTTGAATTTCCACAAACTGGACCAATTGGTTGCGACAAGTTCGACTCAGATGAAAAGATATACTATGTCGACCTTAACGCTGCATACATGAGGTTTGTCCAATATATTCCGACTGGAATTCCAAACGAAGATGGTGAGTTCCCGGGAAGGAACTATACAGTTGAAAAAGTCATACAACAACTGTATAGATATTAGGAAAGCTTCAAACCCCAAACTTGCAATGACACTCAAATTGCTTATGAATTCGACATGGGGATATTCCATTAAGAAACCTCAAGAGATGAAGAGTAAACATTATGAGAAGGTCGACAACTTTGTTGAAAGGTTTTCTCCTTTTGTTTGAAGTACGAATTCACTAAGGTCAAAGTGGCTTAGTAACCACATTAAACTATTGTCGAACATTTGTCTTACCCTCAGTTCGCAAAGGCAGTCCTTGACGAGTACAACAAATTCTTCTCCGAAGTCAAATACAAAGTCAAGGTTTACTATGAGAACATTGACGCACTCATGACGAACGAAGAAGGCTATAACAAACTCATTGAAATGGGTTTAGTCGGTGAGAAGATGGGTCAATTCAAATTGGACAAAATTTTCACCGAAGTTCATGTCCTCTCCAAGCGTAAGTACTGGGGTGTTAAAGAAAATGGTGAAATAGTTAAACATTGCATGAAATAAAAATTTATTTTTTTAAAAAGTGACATTTTTTTAATGGCGTACATCCCTGAGCGCTTCGTCCAGCTTCAACCAAATGTTGGTCTCGGACCCAGGCAAGAGATATTCCAAGCCCGAACTCGACCGTCTCTTCAAAGAATGGATTGAAGACTACAGAGGAGACGAGTGGTTGACAATTGAATTTGCTCGGGCTTGGAATTGCTACAGAAGGGTCTTAGACGTGGACCCAAGACTCACGTACAGAGGTTGGGATGTGGTCTTCACATTCCAAAATTGGTACGAATACCAAAAATAAAAACTTAAATTTACTTGGGGTTTCCCCCTAAAATAATTTTTTTTTACTCTTAGAACCACTCGAGGTTCTCCTTACGGTTGTTGAGCTTGTCACCGTCAATGTGTCTGACCTTCGTCTTCTTGTCTGGATTTGGAACCCATTGAATTGCGACAAGCTTGCCCATGGAGATTGAACCGCGATTCCGAAGGTTAAGGTTCAAGTGTCCCAAGTTGTTGAGGACTGGGGTAAGAACCTTGCCTGTCTCCTTGTTGCGGATTTGGTATGGGTAGGGTTGGGAAATTTCGTAACCGTCATCGGCAACAAGGGTTGCCCATGTAGCGGCTTCAGGAACTTCTTCGTGTTTCTCTTCTTCCTCTTCTTCCTCGACAATTCCTTCTTCAATTTGGTACTCACGAAGTACGGTGTTGCATGTTCTGTCCTTTCCGAGTACCTTCCAGATGGCGTCTATCTCTTCGAAGAAACGGTAGATGAGTCTGGCAAGGTCTCGGTTCTCTCTCTCGTAATTGCGCAACGATTCTGAGAAATCGTTCAGGCATTTCTCATTGGAAGCTTGGTTCATGAGGACATCGGCTTTGAGATTGGTCATCTCTGTCATAAGACTACTTTGGAGAGTCTTTATGGTGTTTGTCAGATGAGCTTTCAATTGGGCAATTTGAATTTGAATTGGGCGCTTGTCTGGCAACCTTGAAAGGACATCTGCCATTGTGTTCGGCTTCGGTGCTTGTTCGGACATCGAAAAAATGAAGTGGTTTGAGAATGACGGTTTTACTTCAAAAAGCTGGTTATGACAGTTAAGTCATACAACAAGTTTAAAATAATATCTTGCTCTTCTTCTGAACGTTTGTTGTCTCTTCCGATAAAAGTTTCGAACATGAGAACCAAAAAACGTTTTTTGAGGAACCGAAAGAGTTCAGGCAAATTTTCATATTCTGGATATGTTGGGAGCAGTTCATAACATCTGAGCTGACTTTCGGACAAAATTGGGACAATGTCAGAAAATTCATCTTTGGTCGGACTGCTTGAAGGTAAGTCCCTTACATGTAAGTAGCTCTGGTAAAGTCTTCTCATCTCTGTTAACTTCTGGAGTATAGCTTCGTAATTTAAGAGTTTTAATTTTAATTGTCTTATTCCTCTCTTGACATCTAAACGGTAAGTATCCATGAGGTCAAGAGTAGCTTTGGTAGCTTTAAGTGGAGCTATCTGTTCCTTGACTTCTGCAATTTTGGTTGCAATTGTGGTTTGAGCTCCTTCAAGTTCGCCGTCTATGTCGTTCTCAACACCTTCAACCATAGCTTGAAACTCTTCATCGGTCCATTGAGATTGGTGTGGGACGAATTTAACTTGCTTCATTCAAAAAATGAAAAAAATGTTTTTACTCTAAACGTGCCATGTATATGGCTATAAGAAACTTACCAGAAGGCTTCTTCTTCACATGAGTCTTTGGCAACTTGAGAGTTCTTGTTGGAGTTGGGTCTGGAATTTCAATTCTCTCTCGAGCGCGCATTCCCCACTGTCTTTCTTGCCACCATAAACTGTGTATTGACCAAACTTGCATTTACAGGAAGACCGGTCAATACACGGTTCACAGTTGAAATAGTTGTACTCATACCTGGTGAGTACGAGTGTGAGTAAAAACATAAAAAAAGTGAGTTAAAATGAGATGTTTACTGAACTGGCTGAATGTCGCCTTCACAGGTTATGTAGAACGGCTGACCAGAGAAGTGAAGGAGACCTTTGAGAATTTGGTTCATTCTTGGGAAAGGGTTCTCTCTGTTTGGAAGTAGTATCCAAGGACGCTTGGCAAAGAACTTTATAATGGCTTCCTTCTTTGCTTGCTTTATGTCGTCGAAGGCTGTCCCGTCTGGTATTTGAATTGGAATTCCAGTCGAAGTCTCGAGATTCAAGGCAGCCCTTCCCGTTATCCAACCGTTAACAAGCTTTTCTTTTACATTCTGCCTGAGGAAGTCTTTAACAAGCTCGTTAATTTCAATTAGGTAAATTGCCTCGTCGGTAGGTTCGACCTCGATCATTGCTACTGTCAGTAAAAGTACTGCTACTGTCAGAAAAAGTACTGCTACTGTCAGAAAAAGTACTGCTACTGTCAGAAAAAGTACTGCTACTGTCAGTAAAAGTACTGCTACTGTCAGTAAAAAGGAAAATTTGAGAGGGTTTTCGACGATAAAGTACTGCTACTGTCAGTAAAAGTACTGCTACTGTCAGAAAAAGTACTGCTACTGTCAGTAAAAGTACTGCTAGTAGCAGAGATTTTTATCGTTGTGGTCCGACAGGACACAAACGGATGACTGACGTTCCTCTTCCTGAATGCCTTCCAAAGCCAGAAGAACCGAAAGCTGCAGAACCACAACAGTCTCCTCAGCAACCTCAGTTCCAGCAAGTACCTCCGAATTACTACCAATTTCCACCTCAAGGTTACTACCCACCACAAGGCTTCCCGAACTACCCTCCTCAGCCTATGCCTTACTTCCCCAACCCTTGGATGTTCCAGCAAGCTCCACCCCAGCAATTCCAATTCCAATCTCAATCGAAGAGAGACCAAGACTTCGAAGAAGGTCTGAACCGCTTACGCAAAGAGTATGCTACAGCTCCAATGGAAGACGACAGGCTTTCAGTCTCTTCCCTCAAATCGACCGATTCGACTCGTACCACAGATTCGGTTCGTGACCGTGAAGACTACCTCAAGCAGTCTGAGAGACTCTTCATCCTACAACCATTTACAGTTGGAGCTCTCAAGAACATGCGCAATTACGAAGGTCAGACACCAGCTGGAGACCGCAAAACAGACGTACTCGCAAGAGCCGTCCAGCTCGTCAAAACAAAGACGGAGATAGTCGACTTCATACTTGCAGCTTGCCCTTACAAGTAAAAAAATAAACAATTACGAATTAAACTTTTTACTCTTTCTTTTCTGAGTTGTTTAGAGCTGGTTTCTCTTGTAGAAACCTTTCGTACTCTTCCATGGTCATGTAATTGCGAATTTGGTACGCAATTCCAGGTTCGTTGTTTTTGAACCTGATGTATGTAACGCTTCCATCCTCCTCAGGGAAGTAAGCTGCCAACATCTGACCAAGTTTTCTCGGTGACTCGGAGCTCATAAAAATGTCACTTTTTAAACGTTAAGTTTTTAGTCTTAATTTACCCTTTGTTTGTCAAGGTAGTATTGGAGTGCAATTTCTCCAAATTCTCTGTGTCGGAGTTCTTCAGCATTTTCCAAGGTGTACCTGAAGAACTCAAAGAAGTTGTCAAGAAGATACTGCCATGCTGCTCTTCTGAGTTCGTCGGTATTTTGGAAGTGTTGCACCTTCGAGTCTTCGGACATAAAAAAAATGACACTTTTTCTATTAAACCGTTTTGGCATTTCTCATGAGTGAGTATAGTTCTACCGAACCATTGGAAGAGAAGAAGTACCCTTGCTGGCAAAAGACAAAAATAGTTGCCTTAGTTGTCATTGCAATTGTACTCGTAATTGAATTCATTGTACTTCTCTTCACGTACATAAAACTCAGCAATGGTATTTGCTTTAAGAAGCTACCATCTTACTAAGACTAAACACTTACATTTTTCAAGCTTGACTTTTTACAATTTGAACTTTGTTTGCGTAGATATGAATTCTGAAAGAAGTATGTGGGTCTTGTAT